TAATCATGAGTGTCTTGCAGCTGGGAGCACTAAACAGCAAGTCCAGGATATGTCTGAGAAACACAAGATGTTTATCAGAGTGTGCTTAGCTGTTGTGGGATGCTTCCAAAAATATCATGCTAGAAAAACAAGTCTCTTTTCAGAGTGGAAAAGTATCAACCCAAAAAAAAAAAAAAATGGCCCAAGATGGCTGCAGAGATGAGAGCCACTTTCTGCTAGAACTTGGCTCCAACAAGTTTCTGTATTGAACAGGGTGTGACAGCAAATAGGACTTATTTTCCATACTAGGCAGCAAGGAACAGGACAAGTAGTGGGAATACTGTAGTCTAATGAGCAGGCTGAAACCTGACAAGGAGGCACATGATGGGAATTGGAGGAAGGTGTAACATTCTCAATCCTCTATCTATAAATGTTATTTAGAACCAAGAACAGCTTAATAAAAGACCAAGATTCTGGATGTCCAGGTCAAGACTGTTCATTAAGAAAAGAAAATGATTGGGAAAGAAATCTTCACTAACTCCACATCCGATAGAGGGCTAATAGCCAACATATATAAATAACTCAAGGAGCTAATCACCTAAAAGGAAACACCACAGTCATAATATGAGGTGTAGAGCTAAACAAATCATTCACACCAGAGGAATCTCAAATGGCTGAGAACCACTTAAAGAAATGTTCAAAGTCCTTAGTGATCAGGGAATTCAAAAACAAAAGGACCCTGAGATTCCACCTTACTCCAATTAGAATGGCTATGATCAAAAACTTAGGTGACAGCACATGTTGGCAAGAATGTGGACAAAGAAGAACAGTCCTCCATTGCTAGTGGAATTGCAAACTGGTACAAACACTCTGGAAATCAATCTGGAGGTTCCTCAGAAAACTAGAAAGAGATCTACCTGAAGACCCAGCTATAAGATTCTTGGGTAAATACCCAAAAGATGCCCCACCTTACCACTTGGGCATATACTCCACTCTGTTTAGAGAGGCCTTATCTGTGATAGCCAGAAGCTGGAAACAACCCAGATGTCCCTCAACAGAAGAATGGATACAAAAAAATGTGGTTCATTTACACAATGGAATACTACTCTGTAGAGTGTAGTTATATAAAATAATCCATGCTTAACCAGTTAAGCAACAGAAACTCCAGTCTCGGCTGCTCCCATGGTTCTCACAGCTAGCTTGCTGCAAAGCTGCTAGGACTTCCCTGGTTCCTGTGGCTAGCTGTAGACACTCTTGCCACCCTGAGCTCCACTGTGGCTACCTCTCCCCTGGAGCTCAGTTCTTTGACCAATCTTCCTGTTCCAAAGCCTGACTAAATGCCACCCTGGCTAAGTTCTTTCCTCCTTCTCAACAGACAGTCTTAGTTTAAAATCAACAGATGACACAATCTCTGGGCATGGAATCTATTGTCCTAATCTCATCAGCTATTCTATGTGGGATTCTACCAACAGGTTTAATAGTTCCTGGATTTACATCTTGCTCATCTCACTCACCATCTGACTGAGGTTCCTTCTTCCTGCATGCCCTTCCCCTTCCTCTCTTGGACCTGGAAGGCCTGCCTCCTCCTTTTTACCCAGTGATTGGCTTCTTGTTCTCTTTATTATACAGTCAATCAATTAGGGGAGAATTCCTCTACAGTAGTCAGCTATTAAGAACAAGGACATCATGAGTTTTACTAGCAAATGGAGGGAACTAGAAAATATCATCCTGATTGAGATAACTCAGATCCAAAAGTATATGCATGGTATGTACTTACTAATAATTGGATATTTGATAAAAAATACAGAATGCACAGCATACAATCCACAGAACTCAAGAACATTAACAAGCAGAAGAGCCCAAGTGAGGATGCTTCAATCCCACTTGGGAGGCAAAAGGAAGCAATCACAGGAGGCAGAGAGATGAAAGAACCTGGGTGGGAGAGAGGAGGGGGAGGAGAAAGGGAGAACATCATCAGGTTTCGAGGGGGGGGGAAGAGAAATCCTGCAGTCTACCAGAATGAATGGGAATATGGAACCTGGGGGGAGGAGGAGTTAGGGGTACCCTCTAGAATGGACCAATAAAAAGTCATAGACTAACAGACTGAATACATAAACAGGATCCAACATTTTGCTGCATACAGGAAACACACCTCAGTGTCAAAGAAAGGCACTACCTCACAGTAAAAAGGGCTGGAAAACAATTTTTCAAGCAAATGGTCCCAGGAAACAAACTGGATTACCCATTCTAATATCAAATAAAATCGACTTGCAACCAAAAGTCAATTCTGAACATCTATGCTCCAAATGCAAGGGCACCCACATCCATAAAAGAAACTTTACTAAAGCTCAAAGCACACAGTGCAACACACACAATAATAGTGGGAGACTTCAACACCCCACTCTCAGAAATGGACAGATCATGGAAACAGAAACTAAACAGAGACACAATAAAACTAACACAACTGATAAACTAAATGGATTTAACAGATATCTATAGAACTTTTCATCCAAAAGCAAAATAAAACAAAAACAAAGAATATATATTCTTCTCAGCACCTGATGGTACCTTCTCCAAAACTGACCATATAATCCATCACAAAACAGACCTCAACAGATACAAGAAGACTGAAATAATCTTAGATTCCCATGGAATCTTTCAGATCATCATGGACTAAGACCAGTCTTCAATAACAACAAAAACAACAGAAAGCCCACATAGACATGGAAGATGAACAACATCCTACTCAATGATAACTTGGTCAAGGAAGAGATAAAGAAATTTAAAACTTTTTAGAATTTAATGAAAATGAAGGCACAACATATCCAAACTTAGGGACACAATGAAAGCAGTGGTAAGAAGAAAACTCATAGCTCTGAGTGCCTCCAGAAAGAAACTGGAGAGAGCATACACTACCAGTTTAACAGCATACCTGAAATCTCTAGAATGAAAAGATGCAAAAACTCCCAAGAGGAGTAGATGGAAGGAAATAGTCAAACTCAGGGCTGAAATCAACGAAGTAGAAACGAAAAGAACTATACAAAGAGTCAACAAAACCAGGAAATGGTTCATTAAGAAAATCTATCTTCCTTCCTTCCTTCCTTCCTTGCTGCCTTCTTTTTCTTTCTTTCCTTCTTTGTTTTGTTCTTTCTTTGTTTTTCATCAAATATAGTCTAACGAGGCAAATTAATAAAGGAAACTTCAGTTGAGAAAATGTCTTCAACAGATTGTCTAGTAGGCAAAAGACCATTGAGTATTTTCTTAACTGATGATTTACTATTACAACTGCCATCTCTGAACAGGTGGAATAAGAAATCAGTCTGCACAAGATAGTAATTTTATTCCTTTATGGCCTCTTCTTCAGTGCCTGCATCCAAGTACATGTTTGATTTCCTATGCTGAATACCATTCATAATGTACTGTAAGATATAAGGTGAAAAAAACTCCTTCCTCTTAAAAAAAAAAAGGCAGTGAAAGAATTCTAATATAAGAAGTCTACCATCATGATTCCCCTCACCCACCAACAGTGTCATTCGAGAACTGTTTTGATACAAAGTAATATTCCTTCCTTCCTAAAAATGTTTCTAGGCCAATTACTTATTTACAAAATAACTGATAAAAAAAAAAACATTCGTTGGAGTGCAGAAGAACAGATGGAATCAAGTGGGAACAACTGCGGCAGGATTCTAATAACCCTGGCTCACTAGAGACTGGACTCTCCTCACTGTAAGCTTTTTGAATGTAAACCTCCTTTACTCATTGTTCGGCACTTAGACCTGATCATTCCTCTCAATTGCAATTGCTGTGGTCTAAAGACTTACCCAAATTCTCTGATTTCTTGGTTGGTTTCCACTTTTGCAAAGCTAGTGAGTCTTATATTTGATAGCTATATTTACATCTCTACTGAAGAGTACTGAAGCTGGAAAGCTAGACATGAGGCTGCCAGGCTGTGAGGAGGGCTGAGGTGCTGAGGTCCTAGCCTGGGACTGCTACTGGCAGAAGTTTTTCCTGGTAAAGTAGTCAGAGGGCCACATTCACTATATTAGGCCTCATTGGGGCATAGCAGACCTCGTGCATGGTCCCTTCCATTTCAGAGTCCACAGTACCCTGCAGCTAACATGTCCTTTCCCTTGACTAAAGACATTAGGGGCTTTGGCTTGTAAGAGGAGAGCAGGCCACTTAGAAGTTCAGCTAACTCTGACATTCTTCTGAAAGGCTGTTACATTTGGGTGGCAAAGAAGCAGGTCTAGAGCCATCATGGGAAATATTAACTCATGCTAAGTACTAGAGAGTCTCTTGACAACCATGGCAAATTCTGCCCTGTGTTTCCCTCCAGAAAGTGCTGACGCTCTCCTGTGGTGCCTGCTCCAGCCACAGTCATGGTCCAAGGATTTCTGAGGACAGGTTCTCCTCTAGTTTGAGGTGCATTATTGAGAACTCAGATGGAGACAGCAACATGAGTATTGAGGACACAAACTGTCAACAACCATGTCTGACCTAGACATGGAATTTCTTATGATATGTGGAAAGACACAGTGGCTATGGCATGGGGTTTGTGGGGAGAAGAGCTGAGAAACACAGAGGGAGAAGAAAGGACAGTGGATAAGAAGAGCAGAACAGTGCACACTACTCTGGATAGGAAATCTTACTGTACACACCCATGCATGTGGGATAATATTGAGTCATCCACAGTGTCACACATGTGCCAGGAAATCAGTACTCAAGATTTTTAACACGGCAGGATAGTAGCTCAATCAACTCTTCATTGTGCTTAGAGAGGTGCTAAGCGTTTAGAGCACAGCCTGGAGTCACACAGGTACTAGAGATTATGTCTTTATTGAGGTGCATTACAGGGAATGATGCATCATCACAGATTTGTTCATCTTTGAGATTGTCTTGGGGATAGGACAGGGGCAGGCTGGGAGTAGGCTTGGGACAGTCTGGTGCTGGCAGTGTTGAACTCAAGGAGTACCACATAAGCTCAGGCTTGGAGACTCTCTCAGGCTGCTCAGGCTTTTTAGCTACTTTCCATTTAAGACATCATTAATCCAGGGCATGTATGAGGAGATTCGAGTAAAAACTGAAGGGGGCTTTTCAACTGGATAACTATTATAGGATGCAATACCATGGGCCACACCAGCACACACTAGAGGTCCCCCAATGTCTCCCTGTAGGTGAGAAAAATAAGAGTATGAGCAAAGATTGCTTTCCCCCAACTTTCAATGCTCCACCATAGCTACTACCAGATTGGAGTAAGAAGTCCTGGTTCCCAATAATTGATAAGTTAGAGATTTAATGACTAATCCCTCTCTTCCCTGGCCTTAACCCATTGCTAACATGACTACCTTTACTCCGTTCCTGTCTCATATCTAGCCTCATGGGAAGCTTGCTGGAAGGGCTTGCCTAGAGGGAGACAAGACAGAAGGGAGATTTCATTTCCCAAATTCTCAGGGCTAGAAGCCTAAGAAAACTGGCATTAGTCAGTGCCATGGAGAGCTGTTTGGCACACTTCCTTCAGTGATGCTATCTTCTGATGTTGTGAGAAAGAGCAGATATGTACTCACCTTGTATACAGAATTTAACATTGTGGGACTGCCTACGCAGACCTGGATGTTATCGTCATAATACTTATGTTTTACACAGGCCTCTTTATCCATGATTCTCAGATCTACCTCCCTCAGGGTATCTGAGGTAGGTTCTGTCACTCCAGTTAGCCCCCAGCCTGCTGCCCAGCACGTCTCCCCAGGCTTGATAGAGTCAGAGGGACCAGGCAGGGGAATTACATCCACAGCAGGAGTCAACTTAGCTTGCTCTTCAAGCTGTTGGGGGAAGGAGGGAAGAAATGTCAAACCAAAGACAGATGCTTAGACATGGGCCCTTTCCCATTGGAAACTCAGGAGTGGGTTCTGAGGAAATGATTTTGACAGGAAAGAATTTCCAGGAGGAAAGATAAGGATGGAAGACTTAAACAGAGCAGAAAAAATAAGGGCACCTTCAGCAGCATGATGTCATTGAAATGCAAATTCCAAATAAAGTTTGGGTGATTGATTTGTTTTTCAACTTTTATCTTCTGCTGTGTGGATTCTGTCTTGCTCACATTATGAGCTCCAAGAATGACAGTGATTTTGCTGTTGAAAAATAAAGAAGCAGTGAGACATGTTGGTCTTAGGAAGACTCCTTCCAAGGGGAAGGCAAGAGGGACTATGTTCTGTACCAGTGCAGAGAGCAGAGAGACATAAATCGAGCTCCCATGTTTACAGCCTTGCCAGAAAGATGTGGCTCAGCAAAACACAGGACTGAAAACTCTTCCGATACCACTCTCAGTACTTGGATTGAAACCATGGCTTTTCCCACGGCTCATGAGCCCTCTGCACTGACTTACACCCCAGCCCATGGCTGAGCTCTGGTGACACCAGAGCAAGACAAGAACTATAATTTTTGTCATGACTAGAGCCATATTTAAAGCTCTGACCTCTGAAAATGGAGAAGACACATGAGATGGTTCAGTGAGTGGTCTTGTGCTACCTTTTTACTCTTAGTGTCAGGAGAGTCCATCTTGAGAAGAGCAGGGATCATAGCCTTCCTCAGGCCTCTGCTGCTCTGTGACTCTGTCTCCTGCATTTCCTCACAGAAAGAGAAGCCTCTTACCTTCCTTTACAGTGTGCAGCAGTCAGCACAAATTGGGGGGTTATGAGAACCCCACCACAGATGTCTTGGCGACCATGGTAACGAATGATCTTCAGATGGGCCATGTAAGGGCGGGAGTGTGGTTTTGCCTCATCACCACAAATAATCTCCTCTGGAACAAAGAACCCCAAGTACCTGGTGACAAACTTATGGAACACTCCAACAAGGCACTAGCAAGGGAAGATGGGGCCAAAGTTGAGTGACTGCTCCAAGCCCACCCCATGTTGCATGAGGCTCAGGACCCTCGATATGACTTTGCTTTTTTTTTTCCTCTCCTCTTGATCTTTCCTTCCTAGTGCTGCCTGTCCACCATCATCCTTCATTCAGAATACAATGGTCATTCATGTTTCTGACTTTCTACTTCATCAGACAGTTCTTCAAACCCTCATCCCCATCTTCCTCAACACTAAGGCAAGAGCAGAGAAAAGCTGCCTATCAGAACAGAGTAATCTGATGAAATGTTTTAAGGGGAAAATCATTTCTCATTATTCCTTGACCTACAGAATACAGTCTATTTCCCTGGACTACCTTAATTTAGGTTCCTGCCTTATGTTATGGTCTCTTGTTATCCAAGGTAACAGATTATGGTCCACTGCTGAAACTAAGAGGTTAAGGAGATGAAGACAAAACTCACCAGCTCCAGCTCCTGAAGGTAAGAGAAGAACCATCAGCAATAGTAGGACCTGCATTTTACCAGTAGTGTTGCCTGGGAAGAGCTTCTGGTGTGTTCCTGTCCTGGTTCCTGCTTTTATAGCTCCAAAGTAGGAGAAAGGAAGGGCTGAAAACCACAGATCTGGCTTGGACCAGCTTTATTTTCCTTATCAGAAATTCACATGACTGCTCTGGTGGTGTGGAATCTGTGGCCAGATTCTGAGACTCCTGGATCCCAGGATAAGATCATGACTGCACTCCTCAAAGCAGCTCCTAGGAGGGCTGAAAGCAACAGAAAGGGATGGTAACCTTGGTCAGGGATCATGGAACTGTTCTTCTAAGCATCCGGGTATTATTGTCAGCTTTGAGACCCATGCTGCATATGTGTAAAGACTCACCTTTGTCACTATAGCTCAAATACATGCATCTGTAGTGTATGAATATATGGATAAGAGAGAGAGTACATTTTATTTACAAAAACTGTTGGGGGTTGATTTAGCCTGAAGGCCATTGAGTGTTTTGACCAGTGTGAAGGCATCTCATCTTTATTCACATAAGTAGGAGATGAGAGAATGTGGCTGTGAGGGATGAAGGTGTGGGGAGAGTGTGTTGAATACACAGCATGTAGGACATGACCAAGTCCGTAATTAAGTCAGTGGATCCCAACCTAATGGTGTGACCCTTTAATACAGTTCCTCATATTGTGACGACCTCAGCCCTAGATGTATTTCATTGCTCCTTTATAAGTATAGTCTTACTACAGTTATGAATTTCAATGTAAAATATCTACCATGCAAGATATCTGAAATTTGACCCCTAAAGGAGTCATGACCCACAGGTTGAGAACAGTTGCTGTAAGTGAATGTCCTAATTTAATCATACTAATATTCTCTTTGTTAGACATTTTAATACACATTAAGGAGAACTCAGTAGACTTTCAGAATATCCCAGAATAAAAGGTCTTGGGTCTCTGCAATGCAAGACAAGGCTTTTAGGTGACCAAGTATTCATAGTATACACTTGTTGGCTCATTGTGTTTAAGTACTCAAGAACATGTTCAATGAAGATGATAGGTTTGGACATTATGTTTTTGGTCAAAATACGAATGAAAACTTCTGGTTTTTTAACAGATAAAAACAATTTATTGTGATGAAATTTCAAAGAAAAAATATCTTGAAGCTAGATTAATGTAGTAACTCAAACAAGCATTTGTTCAGACTCAAAGACTATGCATCTCAATAAACCATATAATTGGACTTGTTGTTCTTGAATCACGGAGCTTTGCAGAAAAATTCTAGGTCTGGTAAAAAGAGGTCTGAACTATCATAGGAAGCCTCAGCTAGTTCCCAGGTTTGGACCAGACAACTCAAACCTGTTTGCATGATAGAGACTCCATGACCTTGAGGAAAGTTCTGGTTCCAACTTTACCCTTCTATATTTCATTCCTTTGCTTGCTGGGAGCTACAAAGGGTCTGTCTAAGCACAGCAATAAGAATTAAAGAAGAAACTTTTTTTATTACTGGGCATTGGATCTGATCTGTTAAGACTCCAAATTCTTCTGTGTAGCACCAGTTAGAAGCATCTGGCCTTGATCTGTTCTACACACAAGGTCCCAAATGAATATTCTCATTTTACAACTCAAAAATGAAGAGGTGAGACAGACATAGTTATCCATTAGCAGCATCCCCATAGTGGTTGCCTGATTCAGGAAGTGACATTATGATAGAAAAGTGAAAAACTTCACAACTGTGTCTTTTTATCAAAAACTAAATCAGGGCCTTGGTATACATGGAGTTACCCAGGAGTCAGGGCAAATAATGCATTACTGAACAATACACACAAGGTGACTCCTGCTATATCTCTCTTCAGGATATCTATTTTCATCTTGAAGAACTGCAATGAGTTAATGTAAACTCAACTGGGTGGTTACTCCAGCAAAAGTTGCTCTTGATGTAGTTTTATATGTGGGTTAAAATTCGCGTGGGAGCGGGGCAGGTCGGGGATGCTCCCATGCCGCGGCCGAGGCAGTCCCTGTAGCAGCAGCCAAGTCGGAGGTCTGCGTGCTGCAGCGGGAGCACTCCCGGGCGGGACTCAGCAGCCACCCGCATACCGTGGGTGAAGGGAAAGAACTCGCAAGCATGGCACGCACTCAGGCAGCAGCTGTTCGGCTTCACCCACTTGGTGTGGTGACGGCAGGGTCCCAGGAACAGGGGCACAGGGACCCAGCGCAGCCTGGCAGCAGGTGAGGGGCCACTGCTGCAGCAGGGGAGGGCGGAGAGGCTTTCCCTGGAGGCAAGTTTCCCACTTACACAAGAGAGTCCAAAATTCCAGAAGACACGTGGAACCGAATACATAGAAGTTTTATTGGTCATGTTTATGGTTGTATCTGGATGGTGTGCTCTCCCACAAAATGCCAGGAGCCCCCCCCTTATATTGGGGAGTGGAAAAAAGGAGGAGCTAGGGAGGGGAAAACTTAGTTACCTATGCCCCTGGCCTTTAGGTAATTCATTAATATGTAAGTCTTGAGGCAGAAGCCTGTTAGTCAGGCCCTCTACCTGTGCCTTACATGACCTAACATACAGGTTAAATGGAGGTGAGACTGCATGTTAGGTCTCTGGGTTCTGGAGGCGTTGCCAAACACCCCAGGATGTCTTCTACATCCCGACATTTATTGTTTTATTGTTGCCACAAATGACATATCCCTTGCAGCTATCAGACTGAAGAATGCATCAGCATGCATAATTAGGGCCAGTACCATCTACTGCAGGGACCCCAATCATGTCACACTGATAATATCATGTACATGGCTTGGAGTGCAGGAGGTAGCACCTACTGTAGACACCTCTCTCAATATAGGAAAAAAATATCTAAGAGCCATGACTTTAGAGAACCATCCATGATCAGTGATCTTACATATGTCCAGTTTGTTCTTCTTGATTAAGGTTGTTGCAGCTAGCTTATCCATCTATAAGAAAGAAGAAACTCTCCCCTTGGTATTTTGAAAGAAAGTTGGCCTAGAAGAAAAAAATGATCAGACAAAATGGCTCTCTAAGTGGCATCCAACTTGAGTGTACATGTTTGGAATAATACAATACTACTTAGTGGTGTCATGGAAGACAGTGACATACAGAAGTACAAACCCAAAAGTAAAGCATCTTTGCACTTGTAGGAAAAGACCACTTTAACTATAATCATAGTAACAAGTCAAAACCAAAATTATATTTCTTGCTTTGAAGTTTCTTTTGGACAATTGTAGATGCCTGTGCACTTGTAATAAATAACCACAGCCATCTTCACCTCCATCTTGTCAAAAGGCAATTTTGAATTTTAAGATGTTTGTTTATAGAAATTCCTTGCAGGAGTATTGTATGTAGAAATCTATCATGCCTGTGTTTACCCCTCAAACTTCTTTCATGTTGAATTTTATACTGCCTTGTGGGAAGACTATACAGTGGGGAAATGAATGGAGACCTCCACCTCCAAGACCATAGGTTGGGGATCCTAGTTTGTTGTGGCACAGCAGTGATCCTCACCTCTAGCCTCTTGGGGATTTTGCTCCTCAAATGAAAACTTGCTGAGAGAGTCCTTAGGATCATAATATGTTGGGCAACGATGAGCAGGCTTAAGAGAAGCCTTCATGGTTTGAGTAAGGTCTCTTACATGTGTCTGTGATCCTTCTCTGATGATCCTGTGATCCTATTTGTCTGTCTATCAGTTCTCAACATCAGTTGAGGCCCTAACAGACATCTTAGCCTTTAATTTATAATTAATTCTACTACTAATTTTCTGGTAGGCTTTTGAGGAGCTACACTAGCACAAACAGACATTTTCACATGCCTCCATGAGGCTCATTTAACATACCATTGCTGCCAGTGGAACCTATGCACTCCTAAACCAATGTGACTGAGTCAGAGACTCACTCTATATACTCTGTACTCCTTCCTGTGGGATCAAGAAGACTGAATACCTCCTCAATGGATAGGGATTCCTCTATTACCTCTTCAGGATCAAAAATCCATGTGTCCTCAACTATGATTTTGGGATTCCCTGTCTCCCACCTACTTTCTCTTTCCTCACTCCTTTGGACTTGGAGAAGCAAAGTGGTATAATCTTCATATCCTTATGGATTAGACCACACGGATGGCTGATCAAACAAGGCTTCATCTCGAAGGTTATGGAATGAAGGTCCTACTCTTTGTAGAGGCACCACTTATCCAAAACCTCTCACCAGCTTAAGAGTTGTACTTTTCAGAGGAAAGTTAGCCACGCGTAGTATACCCAGGAAACCCCACATTCCTGCTTTTATCATGCATCAACACAATCATCCAGAAAGGTCTTTCCTGTATAAACTATGGGTTACTGAAAAGAAAGCACCTTCTCTAGGGTTTGGGTAGAATGTTCTGTTGATGTGTGTTAGGTCTATAATCTTTATTATATTAATTAAATCCCGCATTTCTTTCTTTACTTTTTGTACTGATGAGACTTACCTGTCTGTTGACAAGGGTAAGGTACTGAAGTGACACACTATTATTGTGTGAGATATATTGTGATTTTAGTTTTAGGAGAGTTTCCTTTATGAACTTTAGTGTCTTTGGGTTTGGTGTATACATGCTTAGAACTGAGATGTCCTCTTGGAGGATTTTTTTTTTTTTACTGAGTATGTAGTAGTCTTACCTATTCTTTCTAATCAGTTTTGATTTAAAGTCTGTGTTGCTGTACATTAAAATAGCCACACCTGTTTGCTTCTTGGATTCTTTTGCTTGGAATACCACTTTGTAACCTTCTAACCTAAGGTGAGCTCTGTTCATGGTGTTGATGCATGTTTCTTGGATGCAATCATAGGATGCATGCTGATTTCTCATCCATTCTGTTAGACTATATTTTTTCATTGGGAATTGAGACCATTATTATTGCACAGTTATCAATGAACAATGTTTCTTGATTTCTGTTATTCTGTTGTTTTGTTGTGTGAAACACACAACATATGCTGTGATGCCTGTGACTTACTAGTTTACATTTTTTATTATTCCTTGTGTTT